GGTGGTGAATACGAGGGGGGTAAAAGTTCCTTGCTCCACCTCTCGTATTCGTTCGCCGTATTCCCTCATCTTCTCCTTCTCATGTTTGGCGTGGGCCGATTTTAGTTCTTGGGTGCGGTTGCTTGCTGCCATCGGGTTGAAGATCCTGATGTCAAAGAAGGCTCGCTGCCCCCGCACCCAGAATCCATTGGCACTCACGTCCAGGCGGGCATCATCGGCGGTGTTTGTTGATTGGAGCGAGAAGTTCCGCCCCGCCGTGGGAATGAGGGATGGCTCGACCCTGACATCTCGGCTGACCTCGCCCAGCATTTGGGCTGTCACGTCCCTCACTTCGTCATGACGCATGCAGACGAAGCCACCCGTCTTGCAGGTCATTGCGTGGTTTGGGTCAAAGGATGAGCCACAGGTGCATTGTTGTTGGAGCCCATCAATTGCCCATCCATATCTGAGGGATATAGCGTCAACAAACTCCTGTTTGTTCAGGCTAAACCCCTTTGATCTTATTGGGAGAGTTGTCAGCCAGTTAGATGCTCCGACTTCACTTGCCATTTCAAGTCTTTTTTTCATTTCTTCTGAGAGTTGTGGCAGTATCTCTTGTAGATCATGCTTTTGCTGTGTTTCCCTTGCTATTGAAATTTCATTTCTTGTTCTTTTTTGTTCGCTTTGGTCTGGTTGAGTGAGGCTGTCCTGTGCTATGATATATTGGGTTAGGCTGGTTGTTAGCTTGATGGAGTTTTGGTGTTCCGTGTTAGCAATCCTGCATGGGTCAGTTATCCCGAGTCCCCCGAGTCTTGGTGGAAGTGCCAGGATTGCTCTCTCTATTGCCGTGGGGTTTCGTCCTCCTGATAGAGCTGGTATCAATTCTTTTCTTATTATTTCTTCTAAGGGTTCAAATAATTGTTCAGTTCCTGGCACAGTCCGCATCAGAAAGCTCCATTTGTGTTTCATGCCAAATGTGAATGCTGTGTAAGCACTGTGGGGCTCTACTTCTGCAAACTGTGCTAGTAACTTCAGTTCATGTATCCATTTGTAAACTTGTTTCTTAACGTATTCTGCTTTTGCTGAATTTGTTCCAAGAATTGCTCCTAGGTGTTTTTCCCCTCCAGATGTTATAATGATTTGGCTATTCTTGAAAATTTCTTTGGCATGGTCCAGATGTTCGTGTTTTACAATAAGAACAGATTTAACAGCATTTGGGTAATACCCAAGAGGAGGACCGTATCTTTCTATTATTTCCCACCATTTTTGTAAGTGTGTAATCTTTCCAGCACCTGTTAGGGTCGTCAGCATAAGCCACCTGCTTGATGTTTGTATCACTGAAGTTAATGTGATCCTGTAGCTTAAGGAGACCAAGAGCGTACATTGCCATAGCGATTGGGTCGCCCTGGGTTGTACCCTCGTTTGACGCGATCGTTTCACATGTGTTTGTCTGTTTGTCATATATGTGGAGCTTTGCTGGTTGACTGTATGTGTTTTTTATATATTGAGCAATGCTTGGACATTTTATTTCTATATTGTGTATTGTGGCTTTCCTGTTTATATTATTGAAAGCATTTGCTGCGTCCACCATCAGTACTGCTTCACAATTAGGATCTTCATAGATCTTTCGTACTGCATGTATGGCCGCCTCACATCCTGCTTGCTGACCCACACACACCTGGAGATTTCCAACTGCTGTCTTGACGTCGTCTACCACCACATCCATTATGGCTTTGCCGATTATTCTGCGCAGGACTTCTCCTATACCAATGGGACGGCATCCTGGCTTCTTGTCTAATGCTATTAATCGGCAGGCCGTTAGGGCATCGAGGTTTTGGCAATTCTCCGTGGCGAGTTTTCTTGCCAATGCTGCAATGGCCTTACATAAATCATTTGCAGCATTTCCAAATTTGCTGGTGCTCAGAATGCTCTTCCATCCTTCTGCATCCAGCCCTGAGGGTCCAGCGGCGCCGTTTGTGTGGAGCGCAAATTTCCTTATCTTTTCCCCGGTAATACTTTCAAATATTTCCGGGGGTGGAGGGTGATATTCTCCACGAAACAGTGTTTCAGGGGGTGCCTCTTGGGCGGGTGGGTGCTTTTCATTTAGTAGTCGACGTGTGTTGTCGTCTAGAGGTAGGGTTCCTGCGTTGTCTTCAGATGTCAGGATCCTTACTGCTTTCGTCACTTTCCCTTGCTGCATTAGGTTAGCAAATTTCCTACAGTTATCCAGTTCCTTTTTCTTTGCACTTATCTTTTTAATCTTGTTTTGTAGGGCCTCTGCCTCCTTAAGGAGTCCGTGTATGTTTCCTGTTTTCCATTTTTCCATCCTTCTCCTCATGGCTTTTACGTTGTCTGTTGTTTTTGATTTCCTGTGTGTTTTCTGGCATATTAAGTGGGGAAGTATTGCAGCGATTTTTAGGGCGATTGGCTGTAGGAACGTGCTGTTTGTATACTCAGTTATTAGGAATTGTATCTCTCTGATTAGTTCTTTGGTTGTATTGCACTTTGGTATTTCAAATATGTTGTTTGGGGAGAATGATATTATTTTATTGTATATTTGGTCTGTTGTTGTTGTTGCTTCCTCCATGGACATAATTTGCCAAAATCGTCGTGGAGAATTTTCTACCCCTTCTTGAGTCGCCACTTGCTCTATTTCATTAATACTGACAGCTCGTTCGTGGTGTGACTCTTCAGCAATTATCCTGTCTGTCTCTATCCTTTCTCCAGGTGTTTCACCTCTGTTGTGACACGCTGGGCCTACTCTGCATGTTGTACATTGCCTTTGTCTTCTTGCACAAATGCAGTTTGAGCAATTGCGCGTTGTGCACGCACAGCATCGGCTTATAGTTGTCATATCCGTGTGGATGTGGTGTTGACGTGCGGCGAGTGACGGGTGGGGGGGGGGGGTACTGTCATACAGCGGGAGGCTGGTCGGTGTCAGTTCACCCAGGGTTGCGTTCTCCCTGCAGATCCTCCAGGAGTTGGGGCAATACCAAAGTAAAAGAGGTGGGAAGGAAAAAAGAAACAAGCATAGAGACTGAGGAAAAGGGTTGACAATGGTCCTTCTTCTGCTCCTTTTCCTTCTTCTCCTTCTCCTTCTTTTTCTTCCCTTTCCCGTCCTTCTTCTGCTCCTTTTCCTTCTCCTCCTTCTCCTTCTTCTACTTCTACCACTTTTCCTCCTCCCCCCTCCCCCCCCCCACTCTTTTTTTTCAGCCACATGTACCCATTCTCCTCTCCACTCTGTTTCGTCCCCTTCTTTCCCCTCTCTCTCCCCAACCCCCCCTCCTCCTCCCTCCCTCAAACCCTCTTCTTCTCCCCCCTCCATCTCATCCCTAAGTCCCTCCCCCCCCCCCACCTTCCCTTTCGCTCTCCCTCCCCCCCACGTTGTTCCCCACGTCTTACTTTCCCTCTCCCCTCCCCCCCTCCCCCCTCTCCCCTCACCCCTCTCCCCTCCCCCCTCTCCCCTCCTCCCTCTCCCCTCCCCCCTCTCCCCTCCTCCCTCTCCCCTCCCCCCTCTCCCCTCCCCCTCCCCCCTCTCCCCTCTCCCATAAGCTTCGCCCAATCCCTACCTCCTCCCTCTCTTCCCCTACCCCCGTCCCCATCCCCTTTCCCTCCCCTTCCCTTCACTTTCTTCTATTCTCACCTCTTCCCTTTCTCTTCCCTTCTCTCCACTTCTCTCCACTCTCTCTCTTTCTATTCCCTCCACTACCTTCAATCCTCTCCCCATCATTTATCCTCTTCGCCCCCCCCCCCTATCCCTTACCCCTATCACCCCCTCCCCCCATTCCTTACCTCTATCACCCCCTCCCCCCCCATCCCTTATACCTTCCACCCCCCCTATCCCTTATACCTTCCACCCCCCCCCCATCTCTTATCCCTTTCACCCCCCCCCCCTATTTCCACCTTCTTCACGGCCAGAATATTTATCGGTTGCCATCAACTTCCCGCGGGTGAAATTCCGTCCGATTTTCTTCGAAGCTTCGACTAACAGAGTACATCAAAGTCATCCTGGTGAGTACAAAGCAATTCAGGGGAAGATAGGGAAAAAAAAAGAAAGATGATAAAAAAGAGAGAGAGAGAGAGAGAAAAGAAGGAAAGAGAGAGAAAAAAAAAGCTAAATGAAAAGTTGTGGCCTAGGAAAAAATCTTCCATAATCTTCAAAGGGGACGAAGTTTGTCATGTCGTATATCCTTCCTAAGGCGTAACTTTCGTATAGATTTGTTATTGGGGGACGTTCTGATCTTTTTTTTTTTTTTCTCTCTCTTTTTCTCTTTTTTTTAGTGAGTATTTCAATGTCTCGTCAACTGGCAAAATATGATTGCAATGTTTACGCTCAAACGGGCAAAGCAACACATACGCACACACACTCACGTACACAAACTTGATCATAAACACAAATAGAGACTAATGTGCGTGCAAATACATACAGACCCTTACACACATCTACAAATATACAGAAGCGTCAGTAAACGCACACGTACACATACACACACACATTGCACACATAGTCATACGCACATACAGAACGAGTCATCTATCTTGCAATAAGTTTTGCAAAGTCGAAATGCTCACTCTCATATCTCCTCTTAAGACATATGTAAAAGATTGAGGGAGATAAAGAAAAGAAAATGAAGAGAACCAATGAACGAAAGATGCATAGAAAACGGAAAGTGCTTAGAAGACGAAAGACGTATAGAAAACGGAAGATGCAAAAGAAAACGGAAGATATATAACGGAAAATGCATAGAAAAAGAGAACTGTATAGAAAACGAAATTATGCATCTCGTTTTCTATGCAGTAAAGGGAAGGCGAAGGAGAGATAGAAAGGGAAAGGGAGAGTGAGGAAAGACAAAGAGTAGAAGGGAAGGGAGAAAAGAGGAAGGGGTAGAAGGGAAACAGAAGAAAAGTAATGGGGGAGGAGGAGATGCGAAGGAGAGGAGAGGAGAGGAGAAAGAGAGAGACGAGTGGCGAAGGAGGGAGAAGGAGGAGGAAGGCAGAGAGATAAAGGGACGGAAGGGAGA